GGGGCACCAGCCCCAGCTCCCCATTCCGGGGAAACCGGGTTGCGGTCAGCCCTGCCGCTGGGAAGTTTCTCACCCAGCTCAACGCCCTCCCGTGGGCGTTTAAACCCACCCCCCGGGGTCTCTGCCCCAAGCCCTGGGGTTCGAGCACCCCTCCGCCTAGCCGGGCCGCATCCGGAGGGGCTCAGCTGGTGGCACCCCCCAGACAGCACTGCCCTCCCACCACGGCCTGAGCCCCCGGGGTGCTGCCACACCCCTGGCTGAGAATCTCTATTTTCGTCTTCCTCCTCCCGGTCGGCTTAGGAAAAGCCTGAAGCCAGCAGAAAAGGCGTGCTTCATCCTCAGCGGGCACACACCCGGCTGAGGAAGCGAAGAGCAGCCCTTGGCGGAGGGAGAACAGGGAGCTGAAGCCTCTCCGGGAGAGCTGGAAGCGTATGGCAGAAGGCAGCCTGCCAAAGCGCGCAGCGTGCGGGAGAGACTCGGCGCCGAGGTATCCAGCGTTTTCCTGTTCAGTTAAGCAGTCTTAAAAATATTCATCCTTCAAGCTGGGGACTTGTTTTACAAGGTCCCCACGGCTAAAAAAAGCCTATAAATACCCTGTGGCTTGGAAACCACTACCTGTTCTTTCTCTCCACAACACTCTTCGTTGATGGCCGCTTCTCAAGCTGGCAGAAAGCTACAGCTCGTTAAAGACAAGCCCAGCTCCCTGCTGGGGTGCTGTCCCCCCGCAGAAACCTACGGACCCCATAGCCAGCAGTACCACTGCCCTCGCTCCCTCACCGCGAGGCCTGGGAGCTCTGCGCTGCTCGTGAGCGACACTCCCAGGACACAGGGCTGGCAGGAGAGGCGGATCGCCAGGCTAGGGGAACGCGGAACCCAGCTTGCTTCTTCCAGAAATCTTTATTCCGTGCAGCTTTTGAGCCCAACAGTAGAGAGTCCGAAGGCGATGGTTAACAATCCCTACCCCGTGAGTCCTCACACACACATCCATTCTTCCACCGTCTGGAACAGAGCTGAGGTGGGTATTAACTCTCAGGCTTGCCGCTCTGTGTCCTGTTCAAGTGGTCAAAGCTTCTTTGGAGCATGGAAAGGGAGATCTTGAGCTGTGAAGACAGAACCATCACATTCCTTAAGTTAGTCTCCCGCATGGGTGAGTGATGTCAGGGAAAATAATGTCTCCCTCCTCCTTTTCTTTTAAAGGTTTCATGCAACTTCCTCCTCCCTGTTTCTATAAACAGTCGCCTGACTGCGCTAACAGCTGTACTCCGTACAGCTTATAACTGCTAACAGGCCAGCGTGGATAAAGTCAGAACACCCTGCCACACCACAGCGTGGAAGAGAAGGCGTTTTTACTCACCGTGAGCATCCAGAGCAAATACTCTGAGGAATGTGACAGCAAAGCCTGAATTTTCTTTTAATGCCTGGCCCTCCCGCTGCGTTTTGGTACACAAAACGTGTTAGGAATTATTGACAACCCTCAGAAAACACAAGGTAGCGGGTACTAAGATGTGTCATGACTTCCAGACAAAAGTGTTATTTGGGATGAAAAAGGTGGTTTGAATTCTCACTTTTTAAAAAAAAAAAAAAAAACCAAAAAAACAAAAACAAACAAAGACAAAAACAAAACAAAACACTATTTGCTCAAAAGGCAGTTTAACACTTCAGAATTGGGGTTTTTTTGGGTGGTAAGCAGAGGAACTGAAAAGGACAGGGAAACCAGGAAACTCTTTTCTACAGTGCAGTTTCCAGCACTCAAGTTTTTTCAAGCTGTGATCAAAGTGGTTAATAGATTAATAGCAATTTTGTGTGCAGAGACACCCCTGAACAAGCACTATCAAAAATGGCTCTTTTCCCTCCTTTAGTGCGTGGGAGAACACAGAGCAAACTGGTGATGGATAGAGAGAGGTACATGTGAACTCCCCCACAGCTCTCCTAATCTAATAATTTCTTCTGTCACATTTTAAGATTTAAGAAAAGAACTTAAAATCAGAGCATTCATAGGTTAGAAGTAAAACCCAAAGTATTAATTTAACTGTCCCTTTGCTTACTGAGTTGAAATTTCAGCCTAAGGGTTTACCAGGTCTGGACTTCAGGATCAGAGCGACAACAGCATTCTACAGCCTCATTTTTTATATAGTGTTTGTAAGAGCCTGAAAGCATAAACTACTGGGAAGAAGGAAGATGAACTCCCTAGCTGTGGAGCCTCTCAGGAACACACGGTCTGTAGAATTTATTTATTTTTCACTCAAGATTAGGTGGCCCATTGATAACAAGGCTAAGTAAAGCTCCCACCAGTATCTAGAAGAGTAGTGGGGAATAAAAGGCAGCATAAACCTGAACGAGGAAAGCCCCTAATGAGGTGGGTGAATACTTAACATTATGTTCTGAGCGTTCTTAGAAAAGAAGATCTGTTTGAAATTCCTCCAGTCTTTGCTTTGTCATGATCCAGAACTGCATCAGCACATCTCATCAATAAAGGTACTCGACAGGTTTAAGAAAATTGTCATGAATATTTTATCTTAGCTCAAAAACAACCCATCACCAACCAACCCACCCAAAACATCAGAAACATGAGCATTGCTTATTTACCAAATTCAAGCCTAGGACAAAACAGGTCAAGGAGTCACAAAAACTCTAGCTAGCACTAGAGGATGTCAGACAAAAGCTGTGATGCATAAGGAAGAAAGCTTGAGCTGTTGAGAAGCAAGAGTATCAGCAGGGAAGACTGGCAGACCTACCTGCTCAAGCATTTCAATCGAGTCTCTCAAAACTCCCTTCACATGTTTAACTTGTTCCTTATCATACTGAGGGATCTCCTCTTTTGATACCATTTCTGGGGATATGCTGGAAGAGATTGAGATTCCATCAGAAACCTGAAAAAAAGCACCTCCTCATCTTCCCAAAAGCAACTGCTCTCCGTCAACACTGCCAAAAGCATCCTTTCCCAGAAGCCACAGAAAAAGCTGACCGCGGTTGAATTTCAATCCCTATTGCCTTGAAAATACTGCCTCGGACCTGTGTAGACATGGCTGCCCCAGACAAAGGCGCTCGCGTTATGTCTCTAATGTAAGTTCTCACACTTCAGAGGGCAAGATCCTTCGTAAGAAGGAAGCTGTGCCCAGAGAAGCTGTGGATGCCCCATCCCTGGAAGTGTTCAAGGCCAGGCTGGATGAGGCTTGGAGCAACCTGGTCTAGTGGAAGGGGTCCCTGCCCATGGCAGGGGGTTGGAACTGGATGGGCTTTAAGGTCCCTTCCAAACCAAACCATTCTATGGTTCTATGAACGTTACTCCAGGTTACAGTTTAACTTGTTTGGTGATACCATATTCAAGAGAGGAAGCAACATCTCAGCCTCCTCCATGTGTCTGAATATAAAAGGCACCTAACACGGAACGTTGAGGGGAAGAGATTTAGCAGGAGACTCGCAGAAAGAGGCTAGAAAGCTAAATGAATCTTTAACATTACGTTTGAGATCACGGTGGTTCACACAGGATGAAGCGACCACTTCGCTTCTATGATCAGCACTATGATATTCAGAGAAAATGAGTCACAGTGGGCTGATAAATGCAAGCTAAGGTTCACACTCCCCCAAAAACAGCCCGTCCAAAGAAAAACTTACTCCCGCAAGGTGTGCTCAGACATGTCACTAAATATCAGCACAGATCACAAGAGAGTAGGAAACCCCAGCAGCTTTTGGAAACTTACCACTGAGTTTCATTGTTCAAAATCTCTTTCTTTAGATCAGATTCTCTCATAAGATGAGGAAGAAAGAAAGCAAAGACTGTAAATTCAACTTACTTCAAAGAGCTTTCTTCCTGAAGCTGGACATGGTAGAGGGACTGAGCTGCATGCTCTATCTTTGACAGCTTCAGGAACAGCGTTACATTCAGCAAGACCAAGAGCAGCAAACTGTAGAGAGAACAAAAAAACCCAAATCCTGTAACAATTTTGAGTGCAGTGCTACAGAAACAAGACCTGGGCTAAAAACAGGTAAGAGAATACACCTGGGCGAAAAAAACCAAAACAAAACCACAAAAACAACAAAAGGTGTGGGGCAGCGCTATACTGAAAATAAAGATCTAGCCAAACAATTCTTAGCAGTTAGCATTAAGCTGTGTAAAGGCAACTAAC